GATAATACCTAGTCCACTTCCAGAAGGATCATGTTTATAATTAAATAAAGGTGAATTGAGATTTCCTTTATTTCTTAATATAATTAATATGAATGTGGAAAATCATACAATATCTTCGGAAGTATTTGATACACTCCATTGAAGACACTGGGACAGGTGCGGGCATACTTCGCTCTTCCTTCGAAATTATAGAGACCGTAAGGGAGAAACCTGACCCTATAGGCCTTGTGTTTTTGAGTAACTACAAAGGAGGAAATGTATACGGTGCGCGTCTCGTCTCTCCAATCCGTAGCCATCCACATTGTGGCGCATTTGTGCAACCTGGAGCGCTACCACCTGAGCCGATCAGCGGAAACGGAGGGACTTCGGGCTGCCCTTTCCCAACTCGGCGATGCCCCAAATGAGAGCTACCTCAACCCCATCCGGGCCTTCCACGCAGTGAGTTCTTCTTGCTTGCTACCTCCTTTCCCATCTGAAAAAGCCTTCCTTTTTCAATCCCTTTAACAATCAGGAGCACTGTGTTTCAAAAGCGTTTAATAAAAGAGGCTCGAGATGAGAAATTTCTCCCAAATGTTAACATCAGTTTCACCTTGTAAAACGAAAAGTTATTTTTTTTCCTGCCGTAAATGTTGCTAAGAGGTTATGAGCAAGGAGAAAAATCGATGCCTCTTAATTCGTTTATAGCATAAATAAATAAATAAATAAACCTAAACGGAAAATGCAGTAACCTGTTCAATCCCTAATATTTTAAATTTTAAAAGCGTCTCATGATTAGATTTTTTTTTTCACTGATATTAGAACCATAAAGAATGTGAAGTGCCATCTAAATCCAGGCATTATAAATTAGATGTCTTCATTCTCAATTTGCAAATTGCTTTCCGGATCTCTTCTCCTGTGTCACATTTTGGCACGCATGTGACTAGCTGGTTTGCCAAATCAGATGCTGGGCAAAGTAGCTAATTTCGTAATGAGACCTGCATGGCTAGTGACATCATTAATGCTAATTGCCTGTGTGCACAGAGCAGCAGCACAAGTGGGAAACAGAAAGAAAGCCAAACATCTAGCCAGAGAAATCCACCTATAGAGATGAAGTCATTCCTCTTGTTTAATTTACCCCCAGCTCTTTCTTCCTGGTTGATCTAGGAAGACCGCGTACAGCCACATTGGAATATGCATCCAAAATATTAACCAGGTTTAAAAAAAATCTATCTCGCCCCAAGAGTCCTAAGACAATACACTGCAGAAATGGAAATCTCCTCATTACCATCTGGGCCATATCTTTAAATGACTGTTTTACCCACGCAGACTTATTTGAAGAAGCAAAATTCAAGGGAAATTCTTCCATGTCATGTCCCCTAATTATCCTAAGATGATTTCCAATATCAGGCCATTGACCAAGTAGAGCTACATTTTTTTTTTACCTGACGACAATTAACAACACAGGTTTCTCAGTTATAAATCAAAAAGGACAGACACCCTAAGCCTGTGGGGAATGCCTTTGGTGCACTCATTGAGCTGCAGCTTTTATCTGAGCACCTCCTGGGGTTAACCGTTTTCCCCACTGAGACTCTAGAAGGTTCACTGCTACACACACCCAAGAATAAATCTCAACATTTTGAAGAGACTATATTGAAAATAACATTTATTGTAACTACTTTGAAAGCAATTTCGCAAGATGATTAAGCTACTTCCAATATAATTATTTCGAAATTTTAGAGGCACTATACTCTATAGGTACTAATTAAATCCAAGAAACTCTCTAATTTGGGGGTATTTGGAAGAAGGATGAGAATCAGTAATACAAAGTGTACTTTATAGAGTATTTCTAAATAGATGCAGTGGGATTATTCTAGAGGATACATTGCAACTCGAACCAGTCCATAAGTAAAGTTCAAGAAATGGGAATTGGGGATTTGCTTTAATAAGTGAAGAGCAGTGATTTAAAATTAGCACATTATATGATGTAAGTGGATTTCTAAAATGTGTGAGTACACTTGAAAAAAATCTTTTAAATGTTTTAGACATGCCCTTTTCAATTTTATTTTCACTGTTTGCTCTATGAAGAAAAATAAACATCGGAGAAATCTCTGTCCAAATTACCTGGAGATCTCAAAGCAACCCAAATTAATGAGATTTTACTGACAAGAGATACAGTGTGAGTTTATTGAACTCATGGTCGTCTTAACATAACACAATGTATGAATACTAATGATTTGATAAGAATATGGGAAACTCACAATAAAAACAAAATGCTTTGTGATTCATATTCCAAAAGGCTATTTAACCATCCCCTGAACTCCTAGGTCAGAATTCTGGCCTTTTGGCAATGTGTCTACCAAATAAGAATAGTTGTATCTTTATCAATCACCTAAGAATTACAGAGTCTTATGCCAAGTCTCCTGAGGGGGCATGAAAGAAATGCAAGTCATGGTCCTTCCAATTAAGAAGCAAGGGCAAGGAATAACTAACTACCAGAGGAACAGAGTGTGCAGCTGCTTTATTTGGAATGCCTCTAAGAGACCTCCAAAAAAGTGTTTATCAATGTTAAAATGCAGTTAAGCAGAGCGATCTACATTTTTATCTTAAAAATGGAAAACGAAACTCAGATTTATTTTGCAGTAATTAATCTTAAAATATATTTTCATATATCATCCTAATTTCAATTTAACATAGTAACTTTGACATGAAATTTGGTTTATACAAATGAAAAATGTAATTAATGAATTTGATGAAATTATCACAAAGCCAATGCCCACCATCGGATGGGGGAGAGGTTTTAATGGGCAAGGAAGCTCCCTTCTTAAGTTGTATGAGGACCATTTTGAAGCTAATATGTGTCTGAATAGAACACTCTGAATTGCTCCTTGCTTGGACTCTCAAGTATTGGTTCTCAAATGGAAAATTAGAACTAAGATGTTAATTCATGGTGTTTGTTTCTTTTAGAACCCAACTACTGAGTTGTTAACGACAATCGCAGGCATTACTGGACTGGTGATTTCTCTGGCTTTAATCTTGATCGTGACCTCTTCCACCGAGTTCATTAGACAGACCTCCTATGAGTTGTTCTGGTACACACACCACATTTTCATCATCTTCTTTATCAGTCTGGCTATCCACGGGGCAGGGTAAGTCCATACTGTGCTCAGTGTGTAAGATTTTATCTCTATGAACCTCAAAATGATCTTAGAAAGCCCTTTGGATGGAAGAACATTAAATGCAGGGACTAAAGGACACATAGATCACATGAAAAAGCACACTTACTGTGCCAAATTCACAGTGCACCTCTTTCAGTAATACTGCAAATACATAGCAAAGGTAGCAAAGTACTATCTTTATTTTTTCTAGCTAACTCTGTTGGGGAGCCTTGACATGTTTATAAGATGCAGGAATTATAATGAAGCCTGATGACAATAGATTTAGGTTTCATTCAAAACCTATTTCCACAATCAATTTATATGGGATTAGTCAGGATATATATTTTTGACACTCAGATTTCACTTCCACTTGACCAGATTCATCCAGTAGGAAACTCTCAGTGTGGGGGGAGAGGACAGCGTGTCAAATGGCCCGACTGACCTGGGCTCTGCCCCCGGTCATCAGGGTGACGATGTGCAACCCCTTTAAATTCTCTGGACCTTAGTTTTCCCATCTGACCTCTAGGATTCCTTTTTGCTCAAACTTTCCATAACATTCTCTTCTGGCATTCGACACCTACCTGATACGCCATTCCTCCTCATTAGGAAACTAGACTAGCACCCGACACACAACACTCTCAAACATAATGTTTTCTTTAACTATGAATGAAATAGTCTGGACCAATTAATCAATTGATGTCTATAAACTAGTTTGTCCCATATCAATTATTTCATAAATTGGTGCTTCCTTTCAAAGAAAATTTATAAGCATACTCAATTTGACCCCGACAACAGCCCTGTCCAACAGAGCCAGTACTGTTGTCCCATTTCGTCAGGAGGAAGGGGAAATTCAGAGGGTGCACTGATTCACTCAAGGTCCCAGAATGAATAAATGGCAGCATGAGACCTAGGATGCCAGTCTTCAGCCAACCAAACCTTCACTCATAACAAGCCCTGAAGAACGGGTTTTCGTTTTCGAGAATTAAACATTCCTCAACGCCTGCCAAAAACATGAGCAGGGATGTTGCAACCACCTTGCGTGCCTTGCCAGCAGCCCTTCCTCTGCTTCCTGCACCAGCAGAAACCTTCTCCTGCACCTCGTTCTCCCGCCGTGGCAGCTGCTGGGCACCCAGGGGCCTGGTACCAGAGGTGGGCGCCATGTTCGCCCAGACTTGGAAGAGCAAACACATGGCAACAGAGACCACGTGACATGGTGGCCGTGCATCGTATGTAGGGCCAGATGGTAGCTCTTCTGAGTCTGCACCTCAGGGAGTCAGCTGCCTCCTCCAGTCTCCCCCACACTAGATGTTCCTTCCATCCCAGCTGCCTAGTCCTAGAAGGGGACCATACTTCTGCTGCTCCTGCCTGTCTAGGGCTTTCTAGTCTCTTCTAGCTTTAAAATATCTGCAGCTGGCTCCTCTGAAAGTGTGATAGATCCCTCGCCCTGACTTTTTGTGTCTTGGGGGTGGTGGGATGGATGGCGTGCTGTCCGAAGTGTTCCACCCCAAAGACTGTCAGCTCCTTCTTCCTCTGAGGATTCTTCTCTCAGTGCTGGGGTGTTAACCCCTGTAGTATATTGGAGAAGCTCTTCATAATCTACATGTGTCCAGAAGTCTCTTCACAAAAATTATGTGCACACACCCCTGATCCCACCTCCTCTGCCTTCGCGCCCCTTCACTGTAGAAGCACGAGAGGATTTCAATGGGCAGTGCTTCCTTGGAGATATTTTTTTAATATTCAAATAACATTTCATAAGATGAAATTTTTTAGTCATTTTAACTTAGTTGAAACGCTTATTTTAGGATAAGGGCCTCATTTAATCTTCCCAGCTTGAAGTATTCTACAGCTACTGTTTACAGCAGAAAGTAATTTGCAAATTCTATACAAAATGCCAAGTAAAGTAGGATTACTGGAATGTGTTAAAGCCCACTAATCTTCCTATTATGGGATGGCAGAGATGAAGACATAAAAAATGTTAATTTTTAAAAAGATATTGCGTTTGTGGAATGTTCTAAGGTTTCTTTAGTAATATAGGGAATGTTGCCTAGATCCCGAGAATGAAGGTGTTAAAATTTACAGATTCTTTTCCTTTGGCTTCCCTTTATTATTCACCCTTTCTGTGTCTGGGCATCATTTGCTCATGGAAGATTCAGAGATAGTTTTGCTCATCTGACTCAAGTTTTTATCAAGTTTGGATGCCTTCCATAAACAGACTGGGACAAAGGCCAAGATGCCAGTTTCCTGGGCTGATTCCAAGGACATTGACGCTCCCTCCTCCCATACCCCATGACTCAAAAGGGAACATGTCACCTCACAGGCTTCCCAGGACATGAGCCTTGTGATGTTAAAGTTTCTGTGAGGACCATGTTTCCCCAAAACAAATCAATGTATTTTATTCATAACCACCTAAGAATTGAGTAACTTCTCGATTACAAACCTGGATGGCTTATGTTTAGCAGCCTGGGCACCAATGCGTAAACCGAGCAACTTGTACCAAAGCAACTAGTCAAAGGTCAGTCCGTATTGCATTTATGACAAATATAACACAGCAGAATTACTGGACTCTTGATCTAGTGTTTCGTTCACAAAGGCCGGCTTCCGTTTTCACTCTCAAATGCATCGATATAGTCTGAAAGACACACTTCACCCTGACCTATTTTGAACCTGTCAAACACTAAGTCTGCCAGTGGTCACTGGGGGGAAAAAATATCATTATACAGGGCACTTGTTCTGACTTCTTCACTTGAAAATTTCTAGGTGCTCAGAAACAAACCAAGAAGGATAAAAGTTAAATAAATCTGCAAAAGACCCAAATAGTACAAAGTTAGCCAATTAGCCCAAATCAGCAATCAGGGCGAGATGTAACCTAATTAAATTCAACAGTCTACAAAAGGATGTGTTCAAACAATTTCCCTTCATTATGAATTCTCTAATATAGACACTTTCAATTTAACACAGGATACCACAGAGGGGCACTTTTTTCCTGGGATCTTCAAAGTTTCTCGAAGCTTCTTAAATTCCTATTTTTAAAGATGCTAAGGGGAAATGAATGACAGCCCGTTGTAAGACAGTGCAAGTGTTTTTCAAGAATCCACTGTAGAATATATATCTGTGGTATCATAAGGCTGCACAATATCAATTTTAAATATTTGGGTTTTGTTTTGTTTTGTTTTTAATGGCAAGGCGGATGGTTCGAGGCCAAACTCCTGAGAGCCTCTTGCTACACAACATCACCTTCTGTAGAGACCACTATGCAGAATGGAAGGCAGCTGCCCAGTGCCCCGTGCCTCAATTTTCTGGCAAGGAGCCTTCGGTAAGAATAAACCCGGGAGCTTTTTAAAATAGCTGTCTCCATAGTTAAAATAGCTAGGGCTTTTATATCCTTGAGAAAAGAGCAGCCCACATCACCACTAGACAAAGCCAACTCTTTATTAAGTGTGCTAATGGAGAAATCAAGTTATGGATAATTTTTTAAAAGGTTTACTGCCAAAAGCACTCTGTCCATGTTGAAATGTGTTCTACTTGCATTTAAATATGGACGTCTGGTATTGTGGGGATTCATAGCCCGCAAGCACAATGATGTCTCTAGAGGAATTAGAAAGCTGGTGGCTTGCCACCCTCTGCTCTCAGCAAGCTCCGTTCCCTGTCCCCCTTCTCCATTCTGAGAATGAATAGCATCACTTCTCAAACGAATGTCAAGCAACAACCACATGAGAATCATGCCCTCTTTCTAAGCCTGCCTTCTTTCTTTCCATAGCTTTTCAAATGAGAAAAAAAAAAATGGGGTGTTAAAGGCATTTACTTCCTGTTCTAATTAAGCTCCCAGAACTGAAATCATGACCATGGTAGCCAGAGAGAGACTTAATAAATTAGAGTAGATGATAATATCCACAAGATCTCGAAAGAAAGATTTCCTGGGTATGTGGTGCTCATTACCGCTGGTGGCACAGGTAAACAGACATACTAGTCCTCCAGGTCTCCTCAGGTGCCTTAGAACAATACAAACCTTGGGACAGCTAGGTGATGCATGTAAAAAGAAAATGAAGATGCAGATTAAAATAGAAGAAAACAAGTGCCCTCCCCCTTCCAAAAAAAGGAGTCATAAAAATGGGATAATCGTATATAAATGGTGGGGATTTAGGAAATTAAGTCGTCAACTTATGAAGAATAAAACGATTGACTTTTTGTAAAATTTTCAAATATATTAAATTAAGCACTGGGTTTTAAGGGTGAAAACTGCTCGGAAGAATGTTTAAAGCTGAGCAAACTAGAATAGATGTGCCCATTAGACTGTGCTTCTTTTAATGGCCAATATAGATTGTCTCTGTCTTAAATTCAACTATCAGTAGCCACTACCCAGCCCGCATATTAATGGGCAGTACAAATGCCTCTCTAAAATTTTCAGCTACAGCGTCTCCATAAAAAAATCAATACCCTCCCACACCTCATGAATACAGACTAGAGCCTGCTCCCAACAGCAGCATATGCTGACATTAATTATCATTAAAACAGAGGAGCTGACCCATCTCTTCAACTCTCCCGGGCTACACCTCCTTGCACACCCAAACTCATGTTGTCACTCTTTCCCATTATTTCTAATGGATCCTGATGCAAAGCGTGTGTGGGCTGTGCAATTACCGCGTGGCTGAATGTACAACTTTCTCTCCGATGTGTCTCATGGACACCGAATCCAGAAGGAATCCAAGGACAAGGAAGGGTCCCTGCGCTTCGCTGCACTGCACGCAGGGGTCTCTGCAGGACTCCATCCCTTCCTCTGTGCCTCCCTTAACTCGATGCATTTTCATAGCACTTTCATCAGTAGAATGTTTGTCAATGCACCTGCAGCAGACTGCTCCCTGTGTTAGGATGGAGAATGTTTTGCGCATCACCTCACAGGAACCGAACTGATCAGAGGAACCAATTATACCTTGCAGTCCATTCTACCCCACTTGTCTCTCTGCCCCTTGTATCCTGAAACTCACAGTCGCATACAAGACTCCAGATTCTAGAATTGTTCATGCAACTTATTTTCAAAAGATACCTAGTCTTCCTTAGCCAAAGAAGCACCTTATTTCATTTAACTATGACATCAATAAGTAATAATAAATAATAATAATGATAAGGCTGATGCTTTTTAAATTATTAGGGAATGATGTCAACGGTATAGGGAAAGTTTTAACTGAGGTTGAGTCAATTCAGCAAACTTTTTTCCAGGTGGCTATTATATGCTTGGAGTTGTACTAGACACAGGATTCAGAGACATGGTTCCTGCCCCTGGAAATTTTATTGTCTAGAAAAAAAAAAAAGAGGCCATTCATAAACTCACACATAAAATAAAATCAAAGCCAGCATGTCCTTCTTTTCTGGTAGGAACGAAAAACCAGGAGTGAAAGTGGGGGAAACAAGTTTCATTACTGCAGCTTTTAAATCAACGTAGTTTTATTTCTGTCATAAAATACTCATTGTACCGTGACTTTTTGAGTATTTTTTGGAGAAGAGAAAATAAAGCTAAAAATCCACAGAGTATTATAGCTTTAAAGAAACATAGATAACCAATAGTCTAGCCCTTTTATTTACTAGATGGAGAAATTGAGGCCCAAGGAATTTTAATTTCTTACCTGTGGTCATGAAGGGCATTCCCAGCAAAGCCTTATCAAGAAACCAGAGCTTCTAACTCCACGACCATGAACTTTCATCTCTACGCCATCCAACATTCATTCCGAGTCTCCGACCTTCTCTCACCCCTCATTTTGTCAGCTTTCTGCTGCGATCTATGATACGTCTCCCCAACATTATCTCTCTGAATAAAATAAGACATTTAAGAGCTTGGAAAGAACCAAAATAATAATTTCTTCCAACTCAGTTTACAAACAGAAAATCTGAACATAAAAAGGCTCAAGAATTGCCCGAAGGCATAGGATAAGGGATGGTAAGCCCAAGACCAAGACCAGGCGTCTGAGACTCAGCTCAGACTCTACTCGCCGCCATGGCCTCTGGGCCATGGCCTCCTTGTCTTCACTCGGTCTTGTTTATCCTGGTCATCGCTATGAGGATAACCTTCTAAGATTCACCTCTGGCCATACCCCTCCCTCACTCCCTAAATTCCAGGGGTTCCAGGAGTATCACAGTGGACCTAAATCAGGTTTGCTCCTCCTAGAGCAATTTATATACTAAAGACAGAGCCAGGGATTAATAGCTTACATTCTCCTTCCTGACAAACCGTACGAAGAAAAATAATCCATCCCATTTTATCAACATGAAAAAATCAGAGACCATGACTGATTTGACACCGCCCAAATGAAGCCTGCGATGTCGGAAACTTTGTAAAATGATCGTGGAAGGTAATTTGTAAAAATACATAGAAACTATGTGAATGTTTTTGCAAATACCTGTCTAAACTGATGCGGAAAGAATTGCCTTCTTGCTATCATTTCTGTAAATATCCAGACCAATTGTCGAAATGCTTTTTGGTTCATTTGAGCGTAAGCGACCTAAGGATGCATTGCCTAGGTCTGACCCCATCCTTCGAGGCTAGCCCTTCCTGTCTTTTCCCTTGCTCTGCTCACCATCACCACCTCACCCTCAGCAGAGGTGGACAAAGGTGTTCTTCCTTCTGCTGTTCTGAACACATCGCTGAAACCCCACTGAGATAGAAAACAATAGGTGGATCAAATTGCTTTGTGTTGCCTGCGTGAATCAAGCCTTCATCAGGTAAACAAGAGGCTCCCAGGGAAAAAGCAGAGAAGGCTGATGTGGGTGAGAAGAGGTACCACTGAGAAATAAACAAAAGAGAAATCAGAACAAGAAATATAATAGAAGGAAAAATCATACAGAAGGCTTGTGACCTGTCAACAGAAAAGACAGCAGGACAGCCTGGGAGGGAGTTATACACGTGGAAGCTGGTGAGTCCACCGGTGAGGACTTTGTGACTGTCTCAGTTCAAAAGAACGAGGTGTCCTCCTGCTCCCAAGATAGTAAGTGCACGAGGAGTAGGGTTGTGGTGAATTCAGAATACCAGGGAGGGAATTTAGGAAAATTATCAAAAGGGTTGTGTTCTGGTCCTGGCTCTCTGTGTTCTAGCTCTGTCTCTCATACCCATTCCTAGAACATCTGCTTTTTAATTCCATAAATGCAAAATTAGACTAGATTTCTGAGAACCCTTCACATCCTGAAATTCAATGAATTAGTAAGTCTCTGACGTTTTGTAAAACAAGTGTCAGCACCAACGTCAGTGCTGGACGAGAAGAAGTGTGATTACGTGGTAAATGCACACGGGAGGTACCGGGGTCCTGGAAAAAGCACAGCCTGCATGGTCAGGCACATTCCCGTCTTGACTGTGCATCTTTTGGCTTTTGTGACTCGGGACAATTTGATCTTGCTGAGCCTTAGTTTCCTCTTCTTTAAAATAGAAAGACTACCATATGCCTCATAGGGGTGTTTGGTATGAGACCTAGTATAAATCTTTAAAGTTTTTGTTTCCATCCCTTCACTTTTAGGGGAAGAAGACACTTTCTGTGGCACCCAACACCCGATATAGGAGTAGCCTGCTGGTAAACGGGTCATCCACAATGCAGATTATATTCAGAAGAGATTAGCGTATAGGATGGGCTTCAGTAAGAATAGAAATGTTCACTGTCACAAAGCTCCAGACAATTGTTGAGGTTTTTGCTGTGATTCTGTAAACCGAGATTTAAAATGCTGATAAACTAACTTTATATTTTATTCTGGATGACATTGGTTGCGTGTGCGAATGTGAGTGTGGGTGTAGGTGTTTCTTCAGGCAGACCCCCAAGTTGTGACGCATTGTTGGCCCCCGAAAACTACTAACCAAAATGTTTCTATTTAATTTTCCATATCCTATGTTGACTCAGTAACATAGCTTTCTAAGCCTTGACTTTGGCTGAGTTCGAGAGCATTTATGACCCTATCAAATGTAACATAAACATCAATCTGCTTTCTTATTTCTTTGCAAATTCAATTATTTCTAATTACATAAAGGCATCATTGATCAAGTCAGCATAAAAACCAATACAGAAGAGTTTAATCTCTTAAATAAGCTCGTAGACATCAAGAAATAATTACATGTTATAGTATTTAATACAAGGAGACATCTTTGTTGTGGATAAGTGGCCCAGAATTAAAGAGAAATGTCTAAACCCCATCATGTTATATGTTGATTTGGTTCAGACTGAACATATTTAGATTCTGTTTTTGTTTTCTCTTCCTCTCTCTTTGCAGGCTTGGAAATGGGTTTTAGGCCCTGTGGTCTTGTATGCATGTGAAAGGGTGATTAGGTTCTGGCGATTTCAACAAGAAGTCGTCATTACCAAGGTATGCATGTAGTTTTATATCGGAATAAAAGCCTGAGCGTAGGTGAAAATTTTTTATTAGCCCAAGTTTCTAATTTGCCATTTTTATTGCAGACCTGTCTGTAATTTAGAGGCTTATCTTCTGTTCTAATAATTGCTTGCATCCTGAGCATCTTTTAGTGTGACTAATTTTACTGAAGGCAGGGTTTGGGGCTCCAGACCAGTCCACAGAATTCTGATAAAGATTATGGTGCAGCACGCGAGTCATCTGTATTTCTCTCTATTTCAGTTTCTCTCCAGGGGAAAACAGGCAGGGGGATCAAGTATGCTTTACATCAGTCATAGCAACTTAGGGCATAATCGCTTCCTTCGCCACATAAAGACACGGATTCTGCAAACACGCAAATAATATGCATGCCTTTTCCAGCCCATACACGCATCTCCCCAGAATTACTGAACAGAAGATGGGGAAACAGTCACCCTCAGGTTCAGAGCGAGAGGGGGCTGCTGTGGGGTTCAAAATAGAGATGAAGGACATACCAGGAGTTCCACCCTAGCAAATCAGTGCCTGTGGTGGCATCTTTTCAATCTGGATATCCCTCCTCACAGCTCTCCAATATTCATCTCATGCTGGAGGAAGATATGAGCTGATAAACCCAGAAGACATGTCTAAGAAACTGGAAAAGTACCCAATACTCACCCCTCTCCAGTTTTTTGAATGTGAGAAGAAATTCTCTACTAACCAAATCTATACCGATTTGTTCATAGGATAGTAACAGAATACTTTCTCTTTAACTATCTTCATGAAAGTGGATGCATAGAATTGCTTCATATTTCTGTTTTAAGCTTTTTCTATGTTGCTGTTTTTAAGTTAAGCACCAAAGGCGATGAGGCTGTATCAAAAGCTAGACAGTATAACTTCGAGAAATCTGCTAGAGCTGTTACTAGGGAGACAATTTAACAGCAGAATCCGAAAGAATATCGGTAGGGAGAGAAGAAACAGAACTAATGAATTAAAATGTGGTGAAATTCTCTTTTGTATGGAATAATACTGTCACGGAATCTTGACACTGGATGATGTTCCCTTATTCCTCCTTATCCCTCTTGCCACCAAAAAAAAAAAGACATGGGGGCCTGGAGAGACTTTTCAGAAAACAAGATGGAAATCTAAGAAGGGAAATTAATTCTTTCCCTCTGTTAAGTAGCAGGTTATAAATTTCTTATAAACGTGATAAGAGCTTTTGCATGGTGCTTCGTGTATCTAAAACTCAGAGAATAGGCGGGAGACTGGACGAGACTTGACTAAAAATAAAACAAACACATCGCCAGAGTGAGTTTGAAGGTTGTTTTCCACTTAAAATGAAGAAATTAACCAGAGTTAATTTACAAAAGATTGAGAAAAGATGCATATCATTTAAAATTGAAAATTATAAAACTGTGACTATTTTAATAATTTTAGGCATAATTAAGTGCAATGCGTGATAGTCTAGCTTATGTTCCCTTGGGTCTGCTTAACTGCGGAAAAGGAAATTTGGCCATTTGAGACGTAAAGCCATTGCACCTGGAGGTAGCTACCCAAATTTCAGATATCACAGTAAAGGAGATCAACTTCATTCATGCTGGAATTGTCAATCCAGGCATGAAAGTGATGGCTCGAAACGAATGGTACATGTAAATTATACCTCGAAAAACTGATTGAAAAAAATAAAAAAGAAAAACCTTTGCTGGAACGAAGGCTATTTTCTTATTCCTCGATCTGAGCAAAAAGACCAACCAGTCCCTTGCCCCGATCTAGGTGGTCAGCCACCCGTCCGGGGTCCTAGAGCTTCACATGAAGAAGCGCAGCTTCGCCATGGCGCCAGGTCAGTACGTCCTGATCCAGTGCCCGGCCATCTCCTCGCTGCAGTGGCACCCGTTCACCCTGACCTCCGCGCCCGAGGAGGACTTCTTCAGCGTGCACGTCCGGGCGGCGGGAGACTGGACGCGGGCTTTGTGTGAGGCCTTTGGCGCCGACGGACAGGCCCCCGAGGAGTCCCGGAGCCGGCCAAGGTTGGATCCCATTCCTTTTCTCTGAATAAGTCAGAATATTTTCTAAAGTCCAGCATTTTAGTGCATCCACCTGCTACCGCATTGAGCAACATCTTTATTCTCAGTGGTCAGTTTGAGTCCATGTTTTAAATCTGGGAATCCATATAAAAATTATCGTCCTTAAGTTTTGAGAGAGCAAAAAATTCTGGATTTTTCAACTGCGCAGGTCCAGTGCCCCTAATCTCCACGTTGTCCAAGGGTTAACCGTAATTTAGTAACTTTCCAGTGGAAGCAAGCATATTTCTTTTAAAAAAAGTTAAAAAATGAATAAAAATAAAAAAGAATGTTCAACAAAGGCGGACGATGAGTCAGAGAAAAGGAGAATTTTGCTCCCCCAGTTCCAAAACGTCGCTCGGCTGATTACATACAGCCTGCGATGAGTAAGACAGTCCTGTGAACTTTTTGTTGTTAGTCTGAGGTCTTTATATTTGTAAAGTTTGGTCTTTATAAGAAAGATATTTCATGGTCAGAGTGCATCTGGCAGGCCCCACACACTGGAGAAAGAGCTGAACACTTACAGAATGAAGCTCATAAGATGACAAAAGGATCCGAGAGTCAGAACAGCTAGTGGTGTCCTTCATTCAGTCAATCCCGCATGCGCGTATGCATTCTGCCACACCAAGCACACTCTCCTCAGTGCCTTTGCCACTGCTGTTCCCTCCACCTGGGAAGCTCCCCCTCAGATCTCTGCTTGACTGCTCCCCTCCGTCCCCCAGGTCTCGGCTCAAGCATCTCCTTCTAGTAAAGCCTTTCCTTCCCGCCTCATCTGAAACAACAACTCCCGAGGGGGTCACATGGCCCTGGGCCCTGCTTTAGTCTTCTTCATGGTACTTCTCACCACCTGACACACGAAACACCTGCTTGTTTCTTTGTTTACCATCTATCGGTCTGCACTAGAATGCAAGTTCCATGAGAAAAGGGACTGTTTGGTCCGTCTTCGTGTCCTCAGTGCCTAGAACGGGCCCTAGCTCTCAGTTGGCACTCGATAAATATTTATCAAATGAATAAATATTTATTCACTTATTCGATTCATTTGACCTCTGTCTTTATATATGTGCCAGCACACATTAGCAGTAAAACCAAAATAAAAAAAAGAAAAGAAAGAAAGAAACCCTAGAATTTGTTTAAATCTTCAACACATGAAGAATCAGAATTTTATTGGACTTCCTTGGATGATTTTATGTCTCAACATTGTTTTACTTTTGAATTAAACCAAACCCACTGGAGAGAGCACAATACGTGTTCACTGCTTTGGATCCAGAAAAAAAAACGTAATCCAGTTCAGGCATCGTGGAGATGCCATGGTGACTGAGGATCCTGGAAGAGAAATGAACCTGGGTAAGAGGAAGGAAACACTTTCCTCCGAGCCCAGGAAAAGGGAGAGGACGTGAGCTCTTTTAGAAAACTTTACCAGAAACAGCGTGACGTGGACGCTGGGCAGGTGATGGTCAGAATTCAGAGAGAAGCGAGAAAATTCTCTACTACTTAGAGCTGTCCCTAAATGCAAGTTAACATCCAAAAACGCCAGCGACCTGGGATGTGGAAGGAAGGGTGACCAGATTAGCAGGGAAGTTGGACTAAATATTTTCTCTTGCCACTTCCAGCTGAGACTCTGCATTCTAATTATGCAGAAATTTGTTTATTATGTATTTCTGTGGCTTAAATGACACAATTCTTCCTCGAGTTATCTTTCCACATCAGTGTCAAATAAATCCCAAATATGACTAATTATAAAAACAATTAACAATAAGCCATTTTAATCCATGGACAGTTTCATTTTTTTCTCTCTCAATTCCCCTTATCTAATTATAAAATAATCTGCAGTGGGCTGAGATACTAACCCTTTCTGGTTAATAACCTTTTATTTTTATTCTTCCATTTCCATATATCAATATGTAATAAAGCCCTATTAATTAAGATTAACTTGAGGAGAGTTCATTTGAATTATTAGGAGGCCTGGCATATGGAATATTTTTAAATCCACCCAATTGAACTTTCATGACACATCGTGAGCCCAAATGGGCCAACCTGGGGTGCCTGCAACAGATGCCCCTTAGGGAATGGTGATGAATAACTTAGAACCCTTTTAATTAGCATATCTTTGTTCGTATGTAAATGTGTGCTTTTGGAATAGTTGAGGTTTTTTAATACATTCTGCTGACTGAAATATTTTAAATGTTCCCTTTACAATTTATTCAACAAACTGTTCTTGATCAACTCTGTGCCTCGGAGCATGGGAGGCACTGGGATACAGTGGTGAGCAAAGACAGACACAAAGCAAATCACACACACACACACACACACACACTCCAAAACAAGTGCAAAATTATAACTGTGGGGAAGACTCCAGAGGAGAGGTACGTGATGCTGTAAATTATATAAAGGGGGATTTAACCTAGTCTGAGGGTCCACGAAGGCTTCCCAGGGCCATGATGATTGGGCTACAACCTGATGCGAAGGAAACTATTAACCGAGTAAGGGAATAGGGAAGACGTTGGGGCAGGGCTTCCCAAGTGATTACTGAGATTGTCATGTGCAAAGGCCCGGTGGCAGAATGGGGTGCTGTGTGTTTTAGGAAATGAAAGAATAGCCAGTGTGGAGACTGGTCATGAGAAATGAAGTATTATCCATTCGGGATCATGTTAAAGACAATCACGTTTATTCACCGAATGCGTTTTTTTTTCCTTATAAAAATAAAATTGCTAAGCAAAGATAAAACATTAGCGCCACCCCTGGCAGATTTTGAGTTTGCATAAGCGAAAATGACAAGTTGTAGAAATTGCACGTAGCTGACAAGTTATCTCAAAATTTTTTGTTTATTCCAAACAAATGGCTTCTTTTAGGCTAAAATTATATAAATATACAGTACCAAAGGGTGGGACTGAATAAATAAATACAGGAGAGAGTACACCAGAAAAAGAACAGATAAGCCTTCTAAACCTCCTGATGCTTCTGCTTCATTTCTCTGACGGCAGCTATTTAAAAAAAGGAAAGAAACGGCCTCTTCTACCTGGAGCCACAACAATCTTCTAAAAACTGTAAAAAGAGGGTGCCCCATGGAAGAGGCGTGAGCTCAAGCTAGAGAAGTCAGGCCTTGCCCTTCCGTGAATGGCACCTGGGCCAGACTGCTTGGTTGTCTCCCCATGAGGCGGCCCCTATAGCCTTACGCAGAGTCCACACTCTCCAAATGAGGTTTTCTCCAGCACAGAGATGACCTCCCTGCACACATTTGCAAACACATCCCCTAAAAAGCACTGGTTTAGGATGGTTTTGCTTCCAAAAGCAGTGGTTCGGACGCCATGCAGACTGGGCTTTGTCATTACAGGCTGGCAGTGGACGGGCCATTTGGAGCCACGCTGATGGATGTGTTTCACTATCCAGTGAGCATGTGCATCGCTGCAGGAATCGGGGTCACCCCCTTCGCCGCTCTTCTGAAATCTATATGGTACAAATGTTGTGAGTCACAAACCCAGCCGAAGCTGAACAAGGTATGGAAAAAAATCATTAGCTCGCCCTTCCACGGATTAAAAGGCTCAACATCCTTCTATCTATCATCTGCCAATTCTTGGGGAGGATTTTAATTAACTATGAGGGATAAACTCAAGGATCCTTAACTATACTTATGTTCTTAAAAATCTCCATTCGGTATTACATTTATGAGAAGGGTTATGTCTAATCTTGTTAAAGATGACAAGACATAAATTTTATTGCTTCATTGCCATTACAGGACAAGTAATTGCTCATGTCGGTAAAATATGGACAAGGCTGCAAATGACTATGTGACTGGGCTGCAGTTAGTAATATTAACACAAGGCCTTTTCCTTAGTCTCTTTAGCTTGATACTCTGGTGGCAGGTGTAAAATTCAATATCTTTAACTCATGGACTCAGGGTCTTAATGAGAAGTAAAAATACCGTAACTGGGACTCATCGGCATGCTTACTTGGTGTTGTTTGCCATCCAGCTCCAAATCTCCCTTTTGTCATTTCTGGTATGTTCTCTGATAGATCCTCCATAGTTGCCTTCCTTCCTTTGTCCTATTCAGGGGCTCTGGGCCCTACTTCAACCCTCCTAGGACCAGCAGCAGACCCTAGAGCACAGGAGAAAGGGAGCCTTGCTGACACAGAATGGTGTTGACTCGGGAGGACCCAGGATGTCAGACAAGCCTGGTTCTGGTCCCGATTCTGCCACTTTTCCTCCGGTTGACACTTTAGCTGCAGTTTCCTCACTTATTAAAGATAGATGCTTGACCAGATCGCCGTGTCTCAGTGTGTGTTCTATGGAACGTCAGTCATATGATATTGTCCACTGAAGAGAATTCTGTCGTCAAATGAACTTCAGAAACGCTACTGCAAATCCAACCCTAGAAGAGTCCCATCATCCATTAGCATATTAAATAAGTTCTGTAGGAACGAACCTCCTTCGGTTTGCTTCATTCACCCCTCCCCAGCTTCTTTAGCCACAGAGCCTCTCTTCATGTAATGTTTATTGAGGGGCAGCACCCGGTGAGGCACTGGCAATGATGCCAGACCAGGACGTCTCTAAAGTCGAGCTCCCCAACTAAGGAGTACGAGTAAAGTTTGCTATCGTTTCATGAGTTTCCAAGTGACCGGTGCTTGGCATACATTTTCTCGCTTGAATATTGTCATCTTTCTAATAGTCTTACAAAAGTAGATAATACGAGACCTGTTTTCCACATGAGAAACCTGAAGCTTAGAAAGACTAAAGTGACTTTCCTGAAAATTCATGGGTGATAAAAGGCAGAATCAGGATTCCAACTCAGGCCCCTCTGGCTCTTGCCTTGACGTGACCCACAGTAGACGTGACGCCCACCATTCTACTGTGGGATCGCTGGTCAGAGAATCCACCTCAGCCTGGCTTCGCTCTCACTAGAAACATCACCTTGAGTGAATCAGTTCACCTCTCAGAGCTGGGTTTCATGATCCACACGATGGAGAAATAGGAGTCCACACCCAACAGGAACCTGAAGCACAGAGAGCGAGTAAATGTTAAGAATGCGAGTTTGAATCCAGATTCTTCTTGTGCTAAAGCCCATCTCCTTTCTTCTGTACCACAATAAGTTTAACAAAGCGTCAGAGCCCATTTGGGCTGCCATCCCAAAGTGCCATAGATTGGGTGGCTTATAAATAGCAGAAATTTATTTCTCCAGTCCCGGATGCTGGAAGTCTGGGATCAATGTGCTGGCTGAACTGGTGTCTAATGAGAGCCTGCTTCCTGGTCTATATATATCCATCTTCTAGCTAGAACTTCTCATCATCCACAGTCTAAAGGTACAAGGTAGCTCCTTAGAGTCTTTTTCTGTTTAATCAGCGAGAGTCACATTTATCGGTATGCAGTTGGTAGCTCAATGAGGAAAAATAGATAGCTCAAGAAGTCTTTTCCATAAGGGCACCGATCCCATTCTTAAGAGTTCCACCTGCGTGACCCAATCACCTCCCAAAGACCCCACCACCAAGTACCATCATCTTGGAGATCAGGCTCCAACGTGTGAATTCTGAAGTGACAGAAACCTTTGGTCAATGGCACAAAGCAAGCAAAACGGCAACTGATTTGTATCTTTAGACCCCACGGTAATGCCTTGTTATGGCTGATGATTTCTCAGTGCTCCTAAGCTTTTCCTTTTCTCTTGCCATCTTCCAAGAAAACCCACTTAGAGAGGTGGCTCATTGCTTCGTGGTTTCCATTACACTAAACACGACGTTTCCTGTGACCTGATGATGATGGACTGCATGTCATTCACTTATTCGTTCAATGAATATTTATTTGGCACCTACTGCGTGCCAGGCCCTCTCACACTGACAGGAAAAGCCCATCCCTCTCCTCAGACCAGACCTACAATATCTCATCCTCCTCTCAACACCTCCGCGCCCCATGCATGTTCACAAAATATCTTATTTCCCCTAGCAGTCTCTGAGCTCCCTGAGCATGGCTGCTTTGGACATCTTCATAATGCGACACACACACACACACACACACACACACACACGCACGCACGCACACTGCAAATTTGGACTAAATCAGCGAGTAAATAAATGTCTATATGCCCAAAAGAATGAAAAAAATAGCTTCTGTGTAATTCTCTGTAAGACTCTAGGTTACTAAGGTTAATGCATTTTTTTAATTTGACCCAAAAGGCTATTTGTTCAGTAACGTTATAATTAAAATAATACATCCCGTCTTTTACTACAAATAGAGAGGAAAAATTCTCCTAAGACCCACAAAATCTTAAAGTCCATATAGGAACCCACGAAAGTCTTAATACCGCTTCTTCACTATTCCATTGTTATTCCTGAGCTCCGTTTTTGGGGTTTCTCAAGGCTGTTTCAGTGAGAGGGTTAAGCAGTTACCACAAAACTACAAAATAGGGACATTGTTATCTATTCCAAAACACAGAATCTATACAATTGGAAATAAAAAAAACAGTGTTTTTTATAACATAAATATTTAGGGTAATATTGGGTCAATATTCAGCTGAAAATGAAAATGGTACATGAGATTTAAAAAAAAAAGCTAAAAGCATAGAATTACAAAATAACTTGAGGGGTCTTAACCTCTTAGCATTGCACATGGCAAGAAAAGTCAGCATCTGTACTTAGGATGAGAAGTGATTTGTCCAAAGTCACCCAGCTGGCTAAAAATCCTGAGTCAGGATAAGAGCATGTGGTTCTGATTTCTATGTCAAAGCTCCTTTATGAAAAACAAATGAGATGTCATGGTATTGAAAGTTTCGGCTGGAAATTACGCTTAAGATCCACTCCCTTAGAGTCTGCATGCATGAGAAAAAGTTTAAGAAGTTTCTCTGTTTTAAAGCAACTCTGTGTTTGTTGGAATACAGCTATCATTAGGCTTATGTAACTAATATTTGTCAGCGCCACCCACATGCTTTTGAGATATAAATACTACTTCTTCCACGAAACTGTCAGCATCTATATAATTTTTAAGTGCAGCAGAGCAAAGCAGTATATATTTATCTAACACTGTCTTCACAATTATACATCCAGGCTATAGTTTTCAGAATGTTCTCTTCTGTAACAAGGAAAGAGGGAAAAACAGCCTAGGGGTTCGGAGCTGGAATGTTAAGCCTAAATGGTTAACTACAGTGGATTTTCTCCCCGTGGAAAACACCAGTTGGCACAAAGACATACATTTTTAGCCTCATATGACAAGTCTACAATAAAAAAAAAAAAATGCACCCAAGTTTTCTCTGTTGTTCCCACTGCAAACCATGTCTTTTTTACCCTTCTGTGATTCTGGAATACTTCTAAGCAAAATGCAGAATAGCCAGTAGGACCCCCACCGCTTCTTCGGGGTCACGCATAGCGCTTTCTATTTGAAGCTGGTGTTTTAAAATTTCTTTCTAACAATCTTTTATTTTTAAAGAGGGTCGGGAGGAAGTGGAAAGGAAGGGAGAGAAGTGGTTAGGAGGAGACTTCTCGAGAAGGCAAAATAACAAGAAGTGTAATGACGGCTTGCTGGGAAGAAAATGGGGGAAAGTTGTAATGTATCAGAGGGATATTTTCAACACGGGAGGAAGAGCCAAATTTCACTTAGTGGAGTGCAGATCAGATCGCAGTGCTCCTTTGGGACAAGGGAAGCTGGTGTGAGTGGTGCAGAAGTCTCTGTGATGCGGTGTGGAGAAAGCTGAGTGCCGAGGGGTATAAACGCCCCACAGCGATGGGCCTCCTCCAACCCCTGCCTAACGGGTATAATTAATTCTACATCACACTCAATTTGTGAAAAGAGCTTGAAAAAAATTAGGACAGTTTGCCTGTGCAAACTGTCAAAATGATGAATGAAATAGGTGTGTACGAGTGGGGAGAGAATTGGAAGATTGCTGACATAAATATACTGGCTTCCACTTTATACTTCTCCCCAATATCACAGCCGTGGAGACAGAACTGAGAGGCCTGCCAGCTGGAAGATTGGGTTCATTTTCTTAACCGCATATGTAATCTTCCGACTATAATAAAATAGATTATAGAAAAACTGAGATAATATAATTTCTTCATAAATTGTCTTCCTTCATCAGCTCAATAATATATAACTGTGATAATGGGTATTTATAGTGTGTCCCATGCAAAATGGCCTTTGGGTTCTTAACCTAATATAATAAACAGATAATTCAAATAAAAAGACAGCGTGGGCCAGTGGGAACAAGGCAAAGAGGCCAAGAAAGGCAAAAATCCATACTCTACTTAAATATATTAATGAAACAAAAGAGGGCCTGCTCTCTTTCCTAATGAGTGAAAAATGCATTTAATATAATCTATTTAGTTTGAGAAATTATTTACTTTCACTCTCCCTCACACTGGAGCTGTGGCTACACCTGGAATTGATCATCTCTCCTAACCACCGAGATCGTTGTCATAAATTGAACTGGGGAGCATGAGGCCACGTTTGCCTTTTCGAAAGACACATGTGCTTCTCATCTTTCACCAGATGGTTTGAAAAGGCATCAGTCCCCCATCA